ATTAACATTGGCAATTCGGGAGAAAGAGCAAATTGAATAATATATGATATGGGATCTATTTTATCAATGGCTAACAAAAATGGACGTTAGAAACAGGGAAATAAAATAAAGAAGATATGTTAAAAGAGATAAGTAAATATTATGATTAGTATGTTGGATATTACTATTTTAATATTGTAGAATTAATATGTAGAATATTACTATTTTAATATTGCAGAATTAATATCAATGTAATGAATGATGTCGTAAATTTTGATCATTGTTCAACAAGGATATTTGTGCCACTGGTTCTTTTAGCTGCACGACAGAAGCTAAAATGGGGAGAAATTCTGCTCCCAAATTCAAGTTTAATGTTGATTAGGAGAAGAAGCTTGAGATTAATCAAAGAGGGAAAGTCTACTGCTAATTCAGTTTAATCTCTAGCATTAAAACTATTTGTCGAGGGTGGGGATGGGTTGGGGGCTGAAAAAGGTTTCTCTGCTGGGGCAGGGGATGAGGAAGGAAATACCCATTTAGGTTTAGAAGTAGCCATGTGCTCAGATATTTAAGGAGTTATTTCATGCTTTTGGTATAGAAAAATCTGGCTCTACGTCATTCTGAAGCTGCACAATGATGGTCAAATATTTTATTTAGTGGAAGCAGGCTGCATTTAAAAAAGGGTTATCATCTCAGGAAGAATAGTGCAATTAACTTCAGCCTTTCAAGAAGACCTATCTTCTACTCTACTGGCTAAGCAATGGACTATTTCAACTGTATTAAATTAACTGGGTTCTGAATATGCATGATTTTATCTTAGAAGAACCAGTGCCCTTTGTCACAATATTTTTCAGTCTGTTACAGTTTCTTTTATAGGTGCTATTATTCACTGTGCTAATGTATAGGGCTAAGCAGCATTGCTGTGTAGCTGTTAAGCTGACTTTATTCAAGAGGCAATAGTGCATTCAGAGCTCTACATCAGTCTGTTCCTGCAAGAAGATTGCACAGAGAGTCTACAAACAAGAGCATGACAAAGGAGTAAGAATGGTACATTAGAATATTTGCAAAAAATACTACTTGTTTGCAAGCAGGAACTGATGGGGACACAAAATAGACAAAGTAACAGAAAATGAAGAAGGTAAATTGTTCTGGGACTTTAGAATTCGAACCAAGTACCAGACACATAACGCACCAAACTTAACAACTGTAGATAAGAAAGACAAAAAAGTCTAAATAGTGGATGTGGCAGTACATAGAGGCAGCAGAAGAGGAGAGAAAGAATAGGAGAAAATCACAAATTCTTGCAAACAGAAATAGAACAACTGTGGAAAAAGCAAACAAAGATAGTACCAACAGCAGCTTGGGTGTAATCCCAAAACAACTGGAGCACCACTTGAACACCATCAGCATTGACAAAATCCCTATCAGTCAATTATAACTTGGAACAGCTTACATCCTGGAGATGATACCTTTAATACCATCAAACAACAACATTTGCCTATCCCAGATCCTTGGGAAGGACTCAATAAGTGGATAAAAATGTCAAACCCAGTCTACACACATCTGTCTGTGTGATGAATCATAATAACTCAAGAGGTGGACAAAAATGTCAAATCCCGTCTGAACAACTGGCCGACTTTGCGACGAACTGCAACAACAGACTGATAAAGTCTTGGCTCATAACACAGCAGATATGATGTGGCTTGAAAGAAGAAAGTGTGGATAATTGAAGTGGCAATACCAGAGGATAGTAGAATAAAAGACAAAGATCTGGAAAAGATCAGAAAATACCAAGATCTGAAAATTGAAAGATTATGGCATAAACCAACTGTGGTGGTCTCAGTCAGCACAGTAGGGGTTTCACCAAAAGATATTCAATGGCACTTAGAAATTTCCATGTCAGTTGTAAAAGGCCCCGCCACTTGGATCCACACACACACACACACACACTACGCGGACAGATTATGGCATCCTGGATTCTTGGGAAGAACTTAGTGTATATGAGGGCAAGAACCAGCTAAAGTACCAGCAGCTGTGAGTTCATATTGTTGAGAAAAGATAACAATTTATCATGTTTTAGCAACAAAAAGATAAAAAGCTTATTGTAATATAATTTGATAAAACATTATGACTACAAAAATTACAGAAGAGCTAAAACTCTCTAATTTAAACAATACAATACAGATAGTCCTCAACTTATGACCAGAATTGAACCTGAAATTTATGTTGCTAAGTGAGGCATTTGTTAAGTGAGTCTTGGCCCACTTTACAACCTTTCTTGCCACATTTGTTAAGTGAATTAGGCTTTCCCATTGACTTTGCTTGTCGAAAGGTTGCAAAAGGTGATTCTAGGACATTGCAACCATCATAAAATATGAATCATTGCAAGCATCCAAATTTTGATCAGATGACCATGGGGATGTTGCCAAGATCACAAGTATAAAAAAATGGTCATAAGTCACTTTTTTCAATGCTGTTGTAACTTTGAACGGTTACTAAATGAATTGTTAAGTCAAGGTCTACCTGTATTATCATCTTGAGGGTTCATGATGGATTCCCTCTGGAGAATAATACAATGGTTGTTGAAAGGAGTGTATGCTTACAAAGAGAATAACAGATTTAATTGACTTGAGTTTTTTTTTTAAAAAATCCTTTTGGCAAACTCCTCAAAATTCTTTAGAGAGGCTTGGCTATCTTCTAGCTGCATTTAGTTCTTCTAAAGCTCTTCTACCAGCACATTTTTGGTGAGCTCTATATTGAAATCAGATAATAGCTTCATTTATTCCTGCTTCCTGTCCCAACGCATTGCTACTGCATTCATTATGAATTACCATTGCAAGCCTATGCACATATACCTAGAATACCCCACTGAACTCAGGGGACTTGCTTCTAAATAAAACATATGCTTTACATACCATTACATTGTCCCTTCTCCATGGCATTTAAGGTAACATTTTTTTGTCTTTCTTATCAATAATTGTTAAATACAGGGTGTTGTGTGTGACAAATGGACTGTTTGAATTCTGAAGTCCAAGGACACTTTAATTTCTTGGTTTTCTATTACTTTGTCTATTTTGTGGCCCCATCAATTTTGGCTTTCAGACAAGTGGTATTTCTTGCAGGTATTCGAATACACCATTCTTATTACTTCATTATCCCATTTTCTGTAATCTGTCTGTTATTGCTGTTATGGCTGATCACAGATGATAATGATGATATGATTAATCTCCAATTAGATTAGATCACAGCCAAAGATGGTAAAAATCTAATAATTCAAGACCCAACCAAGGATCTAAAAAGTATTATTATTAATTATTATTAATTATTATTAATTATTATTATTAATTATTATTATTATTATTATCATTATTATTATTATTATTATTATTATTATTATTATTATTATTATTATTATTGGCAGGTTATTATTATAGGCAGTTCCAAGCAGGGTATTTTTTGTAAAATTAAGGTGTTTAGGTCCAAATTAGGATTATTATTGTTCGTTGCATAGTCAGCCAGATGTTGAGACTGGATTTGGCATTTTTATCCACTTACTGAATCCTCCCCAAAGACCTGGGATATGCAGATGTTGATGTTTGGTAGTGTTAGAGGTATCATTGCAGGATGTAAGCAATTCAGAGTAAAGCCACCTTTTGCAATTGACTGATGATGAATTTTGCCGATAGTGTTCAAGTGGTGCTCCAGTTCTTTCGGGATTATTATGGTTCATCACAGAGTTAGCCAGATATTCAGACTGGATTTGGCATTTTTATTAATCTGTTGAGTCCTTCCCAAGGATCATGCCCTTTATCCACGCAGCAATGTTGGCAGACTCTTATCTACCAAGGAAAATAAGTGCAGTTACTATTATTATTATGGTTGGTCACACAGTCAGCCAGGTGGTTAGACCAGATTTGGCATTTTATCCACCTGTTGTGTCCTTCCCAAAGATCTGTTATTATTATTTCCTGCCTATTACATATTCTATCCTGCTTTTATTTTTTTTTATATAGCGTATATAAGATTAGGCATTATTTATACCATACACCCAAATTATCTGATAACCTATAAAACCAGATACTATACTATCTGGAAAATTTCACTCAAACACTCAATTAGTTTAATTTTGAACAGATAATATGCAAATGGATTTGGATCTTGATTTCCATTCACTTTTCTGTGAATTCAATCTGGGCATTGAATTTAGTTCAAAGTTCAAAGCCTTTATTGTCATTGTACATCATGTATACAATGAAATTAGTTTAGCCTCTACTGGTGCAGTCCATACAAGAATACAAGACAACATGAATAATATAAGAATAATCCTTATACAAGTAATTAGGAAAAAAACCTAGTCATACGTTTCCATATGTACGTCATATTCTGTGCAACATGTATATAACTCTGGTGTATGATCTTATATCATGGTATATACATATTACACACTACATTAGCACCACTGAATTCACCAGTGAATTTAATAGCCAGAATAATCACTTTAATGTCTAAAACTCTAGATGTAATTTGTTAAAATTTTATCTTTACAATTTTATTTTATCCTACACAATATAATTATTTTTGATTTTTCTAGCTCTACCCCTTTTGACTCCATCTTTCAGTGATGGAACACCTAGTCCAATTTAATGGTTACTAATTCACCAGTGTCCTCTTTATTTCTATATTACATCATTTAGAACATGGATATGGAATAAATGATTTGGATATGCAGTAAATGGTTTCTTAATGACTTTTATTTACATAAAATAAACATTTATCTTGAGGATTAATATTCCCTGTGCTTCAGGCCAAGCTATACTGCCAATTAAGAGAAATCTTATTGTTCAACACTCCCTTCATTGCAGGCCAAGCATTAAGAGTTATTATGCAATAGCTCTGATCTTTATATGATAATCATAATGGCATTACAGTAATTGCACCTTAGACAGAAACATATTAGGAGTGTGGGAAACTGGGGGTATGAAGAAGGTCTGTTCACTGTTTCTCTTTTTGTCTTTCTCTGCCAGCGGACCCAGTGGTACAGATCGAAGGCAATCCACATTGTTGTTTCTTCAACTTCAGCCCCAAAATTATGTTCACCAAGGTAGTAAAGGCACAGCTCTGGGTGTACCTAAGGCCTGTTCAACACACATCCACAGTTTATCTACAGATCCTGCGTCTTAAGCCGGTGACAGAGGATGGGAGCCGACACATCCGTATCCGCTCACTCAAGATTGACCTGAATTCACGCATTGGCCACTGGCAGAGCATTGATTTCAAGCATGTGCTCCAGAACTGGTTCAAGCAGCCTCAGAACAACTGGGGTATTGAGATCAACGCTTTTGATCCCAATGGCAATGATCTGGCTGTGACTTCTCTTGGGCCTGGTGCTGAAGGCCTGGTGGGTAAATGAGAACACTTGCTATCTATCCTCTTCTTTCTTGATCCTAGCTCTAAAAAATGGAGCCAGAGGCCCGTGACATATTTTGATTGCCCGCTGAGCTCATATCTGTTAACATTCTCCAGCCATTGCAATGAGCTGTGAGAATAACCTTGGAGCACAGGAGAAAGAGCTGCAGCCTAGACAATAATTTGATAAACAAAATCTGAGTCCAAAGGTGGGATGTGGGTGGAGAAAGCGTCTCGGAAGGGACTCTCCCTTTCTTTGGAAAGTAAAGGCAAGGGAAGGGAGAAATTATTTCAGACTTGCAAGAGTCCATTACTGTAACCTTATGATAAAGCTACGGTTAGGTTTCATGGTTATGGTTTCCTGTCTGGACTACCTTGAAGGGCTGACAACCATGATATAGCTCTGGCCTAGTTTCAATATGTTGGGGGTGTTCCCTTGGGAGCTCTGCCTTTCAGAATCAATACTATCATTGTATCATGTAATAATCAAATGCAGTGAAATGCACTGGTTGGAGAATGGGAAGCATTTTCCTTTTATCTGTTTCAACTTAACAGTAGGCTTGTGCTATTGTCAGGGCTACGACTTAAGGATGGAGTTCCTGCTACTTCTATGGTCAATTGGGGACTGCAGTGCTACTACTCAGAGAAGGTGTTTACATGTCAGTCATGGCATTGCAAAGTCATTGTGCTGGTTGCACAATGGTGACTTTTGCTTGATAATAATACAATCAGTATTCAGCTTGATAATAACACAATCAGTATTCTCGCAACATTCTTATTACAGCCACAGGCATGAATTTAGACAATATTTATTGCTTTCAAATATAGAATTAAGATAAGTTTATATCCGTTTAATATTATTTACATAGAAAAATGAGAAAGTAATTTCAGTTTGTGTTAATTAGAGATCTAACAATGAAATATCCTTCTTAGGAATCCAGAATTTAGCAGGATATGTTTTAAAGTAGTAGTTTATTAGAATAAGCTCTTTTTATACAGAAAGTATAGTATTATGCATTATTTCATGATTTAATTTAATCTTATAATTCATCAAATTATTTCTTTCAAAAAACATTTAGCAAATTACTTATATGAGTTTCATCAATTTTCCTATTTGAATGTTTTTTTATTATCTCTCTCATTCTGAATTATTTCCTTGGAATCTACTCCTTTAATTATAATTACCTAATAATTCTTACAGTTTAACTAACCCACATATAATAAAAAATATAACATAAAATATATTTTAAAAAATTCTCTTTCAAAGTACTATTCGTTCATTATGTACAAACTGATCTTTTAGCCTGAATACTTTTTTTCCTAGAAGCAACTGATGGATCAATATTTCACCTTTTCATGGATTTTTTTTTTCATAGTAGACCTACATTTGCTTAAGGCATATTTCATCCTCAGGCTGGAGTGGGTTTTTTTTTTAAAGGAGCAAAGCTCAGGACTGTTATTATAAACTGAATAAATAACTCCAACTACTGTGGGCTACCTTGGAAAGATGGTCAAGAGATTGTATTGGGTTTGGTAAGTGTGCGGAGGTAAATGTATATTCATAGCATTAGTTTACTTAAGAGAGACAAAGCGCTAGCTAAGGTTCCATAGATTAAACTTGCGGATGGATTATGCATAGATGTGTGTGTAATTGATACCCATCAAAACTCTTGTCACAGGCTGTTTTCCACAGCTAGAAACTGTTATCTCATCACGGGGCCAACAGTTATTCTACTTAAATGCCTATCTCTGTGATTTCTCTTTTTGTATGTCCTTTGCAGCACCCATTCATGGAACTGCGTGTACTGGAGAACAACAAACGGTCCCGAAGGAATCTAGGCTTAGACTGTGATGAGCACTCAACAGAGTCCCGCTGCTGCCGTTACCCCCTGACTGTTGACTTTGAAGCCTTCGGCTGGGATTGGATAATTGCTCCAAAGCGGTACAAAGCCAACTATTGTTCAGGCCAGTGTGAATATATGTTCATGCAGAAATATCCCCATACCCACTTGGTGCAGCAAGCCAATCCCCGGGGCTCAGCAGGGCCATGCTGTACACCCACCAAGATGTCTCCCATCAACATGCTGTATTTCAATGACAAACAGCAGATAATCTATGGCAAAATCCCTGGCATGGTGGTTGACAGGTGTGGATGCTCTTAAACTCCCAGCCTATTCTGTTCTATTCTTTTTCCTGTTTCCCTCCCCCACCCCGGCCGGATTCTTGCTTTCGACGACGATGCACCCTGACATTGATGAATCCATTCATTAGCATTTTAAAACACTTTGGAAGAGAAAGTAATTGTGGGAAAAGAACAAAAACAAACAGAATTGTATCGAAAATCTCTGAAGTGACAACATGCGCTGTGCAATAATCAAAACAGACATCACATTAATGAAGAGCGGATGAGTTGTCTTGGATCGATACTTCCATTCCTGAGTCAGATCTGAAACAAGCATTCTTCTCTACTCCTCAAACTCCTTGTTTGACCCAACACTTCTCAAGCTTTACTTTTACTGGTATTCTCTCATCCCAACAACCCCCCCCCCAACCTTTTCTCTCTTGATCTGAGATGCAAAAGTGGTGATAAAGAGAAAAGTCCATCAGAAAAAAAAAAGAAGCTGTTCAACCCAAGAATGAAAGCTTCCTTAGGTTGTGATGTGGAATAAAATGCTGTATGAAGTTATAGAAATAAGCACGGGGAAAGGGGGGTGGTGTTAAAATGGATATTTTATATGATGAAGATGAATGAAATCTGCCAGCATGAGGGATACGTGCCATCCTGGATTTGGGGGAGGTGGGTGGGAGGGAAGGAATGATTTTACAAGTTGAGGATTGCTGAACCTGCCTGCCTTTTGAGAGACTGAATCCCTAAAGAAATGGGAGGCTCCAAAGAAATGAAAACTGGAATTATTTGGAATGCTTTTGCGAGTTGCATGATAGCAAGAAAAAATATATGAAATGGGGGCATAGATGGGGAGGGGGGGGGGTTTCTGGAGGAACTATCTAAATGGAGGATAAACTGTTAATTTTAGCTGCCTTGTATTCACATTCAACTCTTTCCTTTTCAATGTCTTCATATATAACCTGAGCAACCTTTCTCCAAAAGTCAGTATTCTTCAGCTGCTTTTTTTTTTTTTTTTTTTAGAAAATTGAGAAACTAATTCAATGAATTTAAATTGCATATTTCCATCCTCAACCCACCTTTGAGATAGTGTAAAAAAGTACCACAGAAAGGGTCCATGTGAGGAGAAAGAATTTTACTTACAGAACAATCTTTCCAGGCAGGATGAAGTTAAGATAGAAAATTTATTTATTTATTCCTGGCAATAGAATATTTTTTCTGTGTCACTTTTGCTTTATATTCCAATGGAAAAAAAATCATATATATGTATGTATATATGATAGAATTAGTAATCTTTCTTTATCATTTGTAGGACTCAACTAGATCCATCCAGTTACTCTGGTTATGTACAATCGTTTTTTCCACTGGCTAATATTGACATATCAAAATCCTTGAATGATAGGATGTGTTGCTCTGTACTGTTCTCCCCCCCCCTTCCTAACATTTTAATCCTTTTTAAATTAATTTTAAATGCACTTATATAGAGAATTAATTTCCAGCTTTCTTTGACGCTGTAGTATGACTTTCCTTCACCTAACCAAATAATACCCTCCGATTCTTTTTACAGCAGCAAAATCCAGGTAACATTAGAGAATTAAATTAACAGGGAATGCTTTCCAAATAGAATTCTATTGAAGTTGATGCCATATATTGAGTTAATTTAACTGAAGTGTTGCTGTTCTGCTTTCAAGAGTTTGTTGAAAGTAGACAGAAGATAATTATCCTTCAAGTGACAAAGCATTAGCCATATAGCAAGAATACAGTAATTGTCATCTTCAAGTTTGAATAACTCAGATAGGATTCCAGACACAAGATAGAAATTTTTTGTCAGAATCTCTAGCAAGACAATTGTATGGGACCAAGATAACAAATTGCATCTAGATGTTAGCACTTGCTGTTTCCTACTATTAGGATTAATTACATGTCTCATTATTCTCAGAATCAAAGGTAAAGGGGAGGTAAAGGTTAAAAATTATTAAGACACTAATTATTATTTACGTTAGTGATAATCATGGAGTCAAAGTATTCAAAGGTGGGTTTTTTCAGGCAACTGGGAATGTTGCAACCTGGACCACAAATAAGTGATCCATTATTAGAGGTTGTAATCCAGCATGTGAACTAGAAAACAGAATGGATTGCTGTTTGACAATGACCTGTGTCCAGTCATTCCCTGCTGATTCTCTATTTGCGCAAGAAACAAAAGTTTAACAAGTTTGGCAAAGGAAAAATCCATTTTTTCCAATTGTGGTTATCAGTAGTCAAATTATGAATGAACCACCAAAATATTATTTTCAAAGACTGAAGCACTTTGGCAGATGAGATGGCATATCTAACAGACTTTGTATTTTTTGGAAGGATCACTTTCTTTTCTTAAGTAGAAGTAAAAAATTAGGCAAAACAATGAAAAGCAACTTTGCAATGAATCAGCTTTCCCTCTCCTAATTCATTGTCACATTTGGAATGTAGACCAATTCCTTTCTATTTGTGAGGTCAAAGTAAGGATTATATTAATGTGAGACTTTGCTGTTGCAGTTTTCATAATATTTGTGCAATGAAATTGGAATGAAGACTTTGTAATTACTTAACTGAAAAAGGAAATATGTGACAGGCAAGTGAGAATTAAATAGGCCTTTAGTCTTACGGCATCAAACTGGAAAAACACTGGGACTTAGACTGCTCATACCATTGTGGCGTCTTGATTTCCCTTTTGCTATTTTCCTGACAGTATGAAGTCAGGATCCCTGTTTCTCCAGAGTTCAACTGTTCCTGCTGCTTTAGGGCTTGTTTCTCTACTTTCGGCTTGGGCTGTCTAGAGAGCTGCTGTGTTGTATGATGCAACCCTTCAGAAATGCCTGTCATAGGTCTGGAACCCAAGTGCTGAGGTGATGGACCGGAGGGGAGTCTGGCAGGTCTGGCGCCAAGAATTTAGTCAAGATTTTCAGCATAGACAATTTTGAACCAACCAACTTGCTTGCCAACACAACAGCTGTTCTATTGTAATCAAACAGCTAAAATATGCCCTTTGAATTTTTCTGAAGTCCCTTCCACAAAAGTACTAGTTTTGGATAAGATGCGTATTAATAAATGGGGAAGAAGAGTCAACCGAGATTGTCAGGAAGAAAGATTATTTTTCTAGTTCTAGCACTTATTGTATATTAAGTTGAGGATCTCGGCACTCAGATAGATTTCTATATAGACGACAACTTTGGTTCTTTTGTAGACAAACTCATACAGCTTTGATTTCTCTCTTGAAAGTTGCAAAATACTAAAGCAGCAAAGAAGGCATGGATGGATTTTTGGTTGAGGATATATAAGGTGAAATTCTGTCCCCCCCAAAACAGACTCCCACCTCTATTCTATTGATAGGGAGTTCAACACTGCTCAAGTTGAGCAGAATCTTAGCACTTCTCATGGGTTAAATCCTAAATCTTAAAAGAAGGGAACAGTCGCTTACCCAAGGTGGCACAGAGAACAAACTCTCCTGGCCCTTTCTGAGCTGTACTGCTTTTCCTCTTCTAGCACTTATAGACTGAAGCGCTTTGCTCTTTTTCAAAGCACTCATCAAGCATGCCTTCTCAGCTTCTTAACGCTCGCTAAGTTAACCTAACTTATTAATCGCAGAAATGGAGAGTTTTAAACACATAGAGAACAACAGTTCTGTAACTAGTAGACTATGAGGGCATTTATAGCTGGAATACTTAATTTTTCAATAGCTTAGAATCTTTTTAAAAATATGGCTAATAGGGTTTGGTTGGGGTGGGGGGTTATCTTTTATCTCAGTATTTGTTACCTGCATTGGTCATTGTTTAGTCTGCATTCTTGTCATTTATCAGGCCCATACAAAGATTTAGAGTCTTCTTGAGAAACAAATTAAATAGTTTCCTTTGTAATGTGCTGCCAAATCGCCACATTTGGACTACAAGCAGTGTGAATGACATATATACGACAGTTTTAACATTTTAGACAAAGGGAAAAATGTACATAAATCTTGAAATGTAAGATCTGTCTAAAAAAATTGGATCCTAGCAATCTTTATTATTTGTCTCAGTATTTTTCTGAATATGAATTCTGAGTGTTGGCTATTTAATAATGTAGAATACTATCACTGATTTATTCTTCAATTCCTGTCTTATCATTTTTTTCAATCTTTGTGAATGAAAAAAAATCTGAAAATAACTGGTATTTCAACCCTCCTCTGAAGTGTTATATTGCTCTGGGAATTTATATCAACAAATAGCAAGACATACTTTAACTAACAAACCTGCGAACATGTAAAATTCTTTTTATTTTAGCTTCTTGTTTTGCAACATATAGTTTACCTTTCATCTCTTATTGGACTTGGCATTGAAACAGGTAATTCAGAGAAAATGTGAGAGGGCTTTTCTTAATAAACATGGCATATTAAGAGATACTATACTGCTTTCTCTCTGAATAGAACAAGGTACATGTTGCATAGCTTGTAATTCAAGTAGCTATAGTACTCTGTAAAGAATTAACAACAGAACAGAAATTACTTTTTTTTACTAAGCAATAAGCACAACTTTTTTCCTTAAAAATTATATTCTTAATAATTTTTAATGTTACACAAAAAACTTCCTCACAACTACCCACTCCAAAATTGCTGTTTTTAAATATGTTTGTGTTTGTGTGCACATATTAACACTCTCTCTAAAAGTCTAGAAAATCTGATGTAGAAATGAAAAATGAATGACTTCCAAAACTATATTCAGTCAAACAATTTTCCTCTAATATTATATCAGCACTGTCATTCACAAAAGGTGCCTTTTGATATTTTACAGACAGGGCACATAGCACATACAATCTTTCATTTTGAATCCATGAAAACAACATTCGAGATTTCACATTTCCTGGCTGGAGTTTGAAAGAGTGCAGATAGTATTTCCTGACCATGGATTTAAGTAGGTCTTTCTACAGTTGGAAAATAAGCATATGATGTGTATAGGAGGAATGTATCTGAGATTAATAATACCCAGCTATAAAACCATTGGCCTTAAAGTTATTCTCTAAAAGCGGAATGATAGGGCTATGAGAAGTTTCATTTAAAAATTAGTAGGAATGCTGGAGTTCTTCAGGAAATGAAACTAAAATGCTAGACAAGGAATTTAACAATAATGGAATCATGGGAATAGCAACACGTACATTTATTTGA